GCGACGGCCGCGGCCAGCGTGATTGATAGGGACGGCGGCGGCGAGAGCGGCGGCGGCGGCGGCGGAGCGGTTGAGTGACAGCTTACCTGGGTGCCAATCTTCATCACACTGACAAGCGGCTGCAGCAATCGGGACCCGCAGTGCCGCGCCCGCGTCCAACCGTCACGCCGACGCCGGGCCACGCGACACAGCCTCGCTCAATGGGAGGAGGGCGACGCCGACGCGCACCGCATCAATATTCACCGCGGGGGCGGGGCCTACCGGGGATGGGCCCCGCCCCCATCCGGCGCGCCGGCGGCCGCGGGGCGGGGCATGCGTGGGGGCGGGGCCATGCTGGGCGGTGGCCGGCCCCACACCCCGCCTCGCGCCCGCCGCGCCCCGGCGCGAGCGACATGCCCCGCCCCAGAGGCGGAGCTTCCCTCCTGACTGGCCAGGGGGGCGTGGTCATGAGCGCACCACGCCCCCCCCGCTAGCGGCTGGGCCGCCCGCGATCGCTGTGCGGAGCCGGACGGAACCATCTGCCACTCTGGCGCAGGGAGAGCGGACTGTACCATCAGCGGGCGTCGCCCAGCCGCCTCTCTTTCGCTGGGTCGCGCCTCCTTTAGTTGCCGGCCCGCGGCGATCCTTCTGGCCGGGCTGTAGGGCCGGAGTAGGTGCGGGGCGAGGCAGCGCAGTGGGTGCACACACGCATCCCCACTGTGGACGCCTGAGGTCGCTGCCCGAGACCCAGGCCCCATGCCGCCCTGGTGTCTGCACGCGGCTGCTGAGTTTGGCCCTGGTTGGCCCGGCCCCCTAGCTGCCCACCATCGGACCCAAGCGACCCAGGTCCCGGCCAAGGGAGGACAGTGTGGGTTGGGAGGACCACCCACCCCCTAGTCAGCCGTGTCGTGCCCGCAGGTCCCACTGGTGGCCGCATGAGGGAGGCACTGGGGCCGGAGGACCTGGTGCACACGGCCCTGAATTATCTCCAGTGCCTACCAAGCGCCATCAGCTGTGCTGGCCCAGGACAAGCACTGATGCCTGGCGGGTCCTGCACTCAGACCAGGCCTGGGCAGCCCCGAGGGCACCAGGAAGCCATGGGCAGAGTGCCCTGTGGCGCTGCCCAGCGCGTGTTCAGAAGGCAGTGCCAGGCACAGGTGGAGGCCAGGGAGGGCTCGAGCGAGAAAATTCATAAGGACACAAAAAGCTCAATAATCAAGACCGCTACACAATTTGCAGGGCCTGGTACAAATGGAAATGTGGGGTCCTGTGTTCAGAATTACTAAGCATTTCAAGGGGCAGCAGGGGAAGATGACAGCAATCGAGGTCTTCTAATCGAAGCCCTGTGTGACTGGTACAGGAAAAATGGAACTCCTGGCCTATTAGATGTCACATGCGCCGAGTTTGTGGTCTCACAACATCAGTGAAGTTTCGAACCAAAGAAGGAAGTTAGAGTTTTATTGGCAATAGGCAGAATAGCTCCTGGATTTCCAAGAGGGGTCCCGAATGGGTGGCCATGGAGGCCCTTTGTCAGGAGTAACTCACAGAGCAAAGTCAGTCACCGTGGGTACAACCAACCTATAGTAGATTGGCTTAGCTACTGTAGATCCAACAGGGAAATGAGTCATGTAGCAGGGGTACGTGGAAAGAGCAAAGGCATTTTGGGGAAGTGGGGGTATGGGTCCAGATGTTCTTTCTGGTCGCCCACCTGGGTGTCTGATGGCTGGCTGGGCCCACAGGACCAGGTGGTGCTGGTCATGGTATAATCTCAAGCTGCTGTTTATCTCTAGGAAGGCTTCCAAGCCTTGTTATTGCTGTTCCATCCTGAAGGTTGGTTCTCTTCAGATTTGCCTCCCACTACGATTCTAATGCCTTTATTTCTTTTGTGCTGACATCCTTGAAGGCCTAGTCCCTCTCTGACTGTACAGTATATTTCTATCTAACTTAGCTGTCTGTAATATGACCTTCCTGGGCCCTGACCTCCTGGGCCTCCCCTAGTCCTGCCATGTGTCTTAACCTTCCCCTTGGGGCCCAGCCAGCCTGTGAGACCGGGGAGGTGTGGCAGGAGGACCCAATACAAAGTGCCGCCCCGAAGTTCAGGGGCAGACTGAGGCCACCACTGTCTGTCCACCCCCTGGCCCCAGGGAGCTGATTGTCAATCAGCTGGAGCCTCTCTCTCTGCTGCATTTCTTTCTTGGCACTATCCTTCTCCAGGAAAAGGAGAACTCATCTGTGATCACTCATTGCTAAGAGGTCCAGCCTCAGAACAATACTTCAAGTTTGGCTTTGGGGCTTGGAGGGGCAAAGCCTCACTGGTTACTTAGGCATCCACCTTCTCTTCCCACCCGCGAGGCCTCGTTCTAAAGGAAGAAGAGAAAAAAACCATCAGTACATCTTAATTCAAATAACCAGCCCTTCTGTCTGTTCTCTTCCCAGTGTATTTTTTAAAGGTCTATTATTTTCTCAAGGACCATGCTTAGGTATATGAAATAAAAAGCCACACATACAGTAATTCTTCATGCAGATACATGAGCAGAATTCCTTCCTGTTGCCAGTTACACAAGGTACAACTTGTAGAATTGAAGAAATGATCTTGAGGCCAGGGATTTAGCTCAGTGGCGCCGAGCCTGCCTCACAAGCACAGGGTCCTGAGTTTGATCCCCGGTACCAAAAAAAAAATGATCTTGAGGCTTAAATTTGCAACTTACATTTCTCACTTACAAAGCCTGAAGACATGTCATCATTTAGATATAAAAGCCTTATCATTGCTCTCCTAAACTGTAGTCTGTCTTGTTTTTTCTAGTTTGCATTCCCTATCTCCTCTTCAGTATAAAAAGGGACGTTTTCTTTTGCCTTTTTTTATTATTATTATTTTAAGGCAGGGTTTCAGTATGTAGTTTAGACTGGCCTTGAACTCACTATGTTGTCCAGGCTGGCCTCAAACTTCAGGTGGCAATCCTCCTGCTTCAGCCTCCTGAGCGCTGGGATTACAGTTGTGCACCACCATGTTCCTCTATAGAAAGGGGCACGGTGATGACAGTCAGTGGTGTACATAAGCCCACAGGTATGACAGACAAGGGAAGGGACCACGTGGCCACAGGCCCTGAGAGTGGGTGGTGCGCCTTGGCAGGGGTAGAGGCCCAGTAGCTGCAGGGCGGGCAGATGGGAGCAATTCTTGAAAAACCACAGAGCTCTGCCAAAGTGCCAGCAGGGGCTTGGCACATTCACTGTGGACCCAGACTGGGCTCAGATCCTCAGGGGCCTAACAAAAAGGTAAGGTGTGGACCCCGCGTGGCAGAGCTTCCAGCCCAGGGTATAAAGCTCCCGGCAGCCAGGTGGATACCCTGTCTCACGGTGAGAGAATCTGGGAGGAAGCTAGAGGAGGTAGGGACTGCAAGGTTGGGATGTCCTTACAGGATGTTAGAATCTAGAAAGGCTTGAGAAAAAGTGGGCCAGAAACCACTCCTAATCAGGGCAACTCTCTTTGCTTATGAAGGTGATCAGTTTGGCTGATGTACAGATGGCTCCAGTTTGCAAAGCTCGGCAGAAGATGGGAGGAACCCACAATGTGTAGGCAACAGAGCATGGCCCATGAGGATCTTCATGATCTCTTTCTGCCCTTCAGCCTCTGCTGCCTTCACTTTGATTGCAACAGGTGTGATGCAGCCTCAGGACCTTTACACTGGCTGTGCCCTGCCTGAAGCACTCTTCCCAGAGGTATCTGTGTGGCTCTCTTCCTCCAGAAGCCTTTGCCCACAATCACTTTGTCAGAAGCTTAAAACTGCAAATCCCCAGCCCACGCCTCATCTGGCCATTCTCCACGGTATTCAGGTAAGTGCATCTCCCCTGCTTTGCACCTATTTAATTATAGTATCTGCTAGGGCCTGCATGCGTCTCTGCAATGTGATGCTGTTGAAGGGGCCTCACTTGGGAGAGGATTCGATTTAGATCGCAAGGCAGGACTCTGATGGGCTGGTGTCATTGTGTGGAGCAGAAGGGCCCAGAGCTCTGTCCCTGCCATGTGAGGACACAGCCTAAGCCAGTGTCTGTGACTCAGGAGCAGGGGTCTCACCCTCACCTCAGCTTTCCAGCCCCAGGGCCCTGGGGAATGAGTGCCTGTTGTTCACAAGGCCCTGAACAGCAGAGGACGCTGGTGCCAGTGGGTTGGTGGCATCGCTGTGGCTGGATGAAGGATGCCTGGAGCCTGGTACAGCTCACCCACACAAGAGGTGGCCAGACAGAGCATATACGAGGTGCAATCGAAAAATAAGGGGAGTGCTTACTGAATGTTTTAAAGGATTTATTACAGGGGCAACCCACTTCTAGGTCCCCCTTCTGTCTCTCTTACACAGAAGCTATCTTTCAATAAATTTTTCCTACTCTACTCTTAACCTCTGTTGTTCCTAGAATTCATTCTTCCAGATTTTAGAGAACCCAAACTCACTGGCTATCTAGCAGGTTTGGGAGTTCCATCTCTTCCGCCTCTATCACTGGCACAATGCTGCATGTGTCTCCCCAGCTCCACCTTAGCTGTTGGATCCTAGTTTGAAATCTGCCAAGATAGTGATATAGGGTACCAAATAAGTAAAATAATCCAAACAAGGGAAATATTATAACTCCCAACCTGCTAGATGTCCAAAAAGCTAGTTCTCTAAAATCAAAGAATGAATTCTAGGAACTGTGGAGGTTAAGAGTAGGAAAAATTGGGCCGGGGATGTAGCTCAGTGGTTCCGCTGCCTACCTCACAAGCGCAAGGTCCCGAGTTCGATCCCCAGTCCCCCCACAAAAAATTATTACAGTAAAAAAATACATTAGCATTGATCCTTCTCAACTCCTCCCACACGCACTTCAAGCACACTCCTCCCATCGTCCTTGCTACCTTCTGAAGCAGCTCTGGAGTCTCCTTTCCTGAGTGCTGTCCGGCTGCCTCCATGTCCTAAATCCATTCAAAGTATTTCCTCTTCACAGTCACTTTGACTTTGGGGAAGAGCTGGAGCTGCACGGTGCAAGATCCAGTGAACAAGGTGGATGAGGACACAGGATAATGGTGTTATAAGTCTGCGTTTCTGTTGGGTGGTGCTGGGCAGCAGCACTCACCTTATTCTTGATTGCACTTTGTAAAAAAACCTCAGGAAGGAGGACTCCAGAACTGCTACAGGAAGTGGCCAGAACAGCAGGATGAAAGTATGCAGAGTGAGAGGGAGGATTTTGAGGGGGATTCATGGCCACGTGTCTTTTACTGTAATAAACTGAAAACGTAAACATTTGCTGTGTATTTTGATCACACCGGCAGCCACCGTAGCACCCCTCCCCGGACCCTAGCTGGGACATGAGTCTCCTGCCGCAGACATCAGAACTCAGGCTCGGTGGCCTTGGGACCCCAGGACTTACACCAGTATCCCCTCCTCAAATTCTAGGCTGAGATGCACACCACCAGCTTCCTGGTTCTGAGGCCCGGGGGCCTAGGCGGAGCCGCCCAGGGTCTCCAGAGTGAGACGGCCTGTGTGGGACTTGCCAGCTGCCACAATCGTGCCAGCCAGTGCGCTCACACATCCCCTCCGGTGTCTGTCTGCAAATCCTGCTGGTCCGTCTCTCTGGAGCACCTGATGATACATCGCTTTGTGTCTGTGCCCAACACATGTTCCCCAGTGTTAGTTTCCAATCTGCAAGTGCGAAGCTCACTCTGTCATGTCCCTGCTGTCTTCCAGGGCCTCTGGAGCAGCGCTCAGCAAATTGAGAAGCATCAAATGCGCGGATGAACATTCTTAACGCATGGTGCATTATTGGCCACCTATTGCTGCATTACACACTTGATGGCTTAAGACGACACACGTAATCACACACTCGTGATGCCAGTGTCTGTGCACCAAGACCCTGGGCACAGCTCTCGGGGTGCTCAGCCTCAGAGCCTCAGCCTGCAGCCCAGGATGCGCCCCGGGGCAGGGTCTCCCTGGCAGGCCCGCGGGGGAAGGATCTGTGGCCAAGCCACGCGCGGATGGTGGAGGGACGCTGGCTGGGTGCTGGCCAGAGGCCCCCTTGTGTCCCACCGCGTGAACCTCACCGCCGGGGAACTCACAAGTAGCAGCCCAGCAAGGGAGATCCAAGGAGGAAGCGGGACCTCAGTGCCGCTGGTAGGAGCCTATGGGGCGCGCTGTCTGAATGTGTATTAGTGTGTACACCCATCACGTGCTCCAGTCGTGAGCTGAGAAACCCCAGTTCCTCCAAGACACAAATTCCCCACATGGTTGGTGAATGCCGGAACCTGCAGCAGAAGGCCGCTGTCACCAGGGAGAGCGCGTGGACAGCATGGGTCCCGTCAGACAGCAGAGCAGCTCAGTGAGGGAGAACTGTGACGCGCCACCCTGCCTGCCCGGTGGCACCGTACCAGCTGCCGCCGAGCTGTGGTGTGGTGCGGTTGCTCTCGTGTGCACCGGGGTAAGGCTGTGGTGCCCAGCGGAGTGGGCAGACAGCTGACCAGCCGTGTCTCTGAGGTGTGTTTGTAGGCGGAGCTTTTTTAGCTTTTTGAGACAGGGTCTTGCTTTGTAGGTGGGGCTGGCCTCGCACCCACACTGGTCCTCCTGCTTCTGTCTCCCCAGTGCTCGGGGCACAGGTGGGCCTCCACTCCGGATAAGGCCAACATTTTAACCTCAGTTCCTCACTCAGGGTCGCAGACGCCCACACCACACTTTTCTAGTGAAAATACGTACTTTAGCATAACGGTAGCCAGCATTGCGCCTCAGTAGCTGTGCCAGAGGAATGCAGGAAGCGATCTTTGTGTTCACCCACTTGGTAGGATGAACAGCAAGGTGTATGCACGCATGCCAAAGTATAAATGGGTGAGTTTTACCCACATTATGCACCTTGTTATATTTTTACGTATTTATAACTTTTTATTAAATGTTTTCTTTTTATTTTTCTTGCAGAATCAGCCCAATTCAGTACAATGGCATATGAAAATCCCCTTTTACAACTTTGGGAGGAGGTTGAAAGTGAATCATCAGGTGACTGCTACTGATGATGACTTGGATCACGTGAGCCAAAGAAGTTAGCAAGAATGACAGATATGACAGACAGAGATGGCAGAGAAGTACAAAACAAAGACCTTGATTCAGATGGGGAAGAAAACAGCAATGCAAATAAATGTTTGGCTAGTCAAAATGCTACAGATGGTCATGTATACCTGAGTGATCCAATGTTAGAACTAGGTCAGAAAATGTTATTAGGTTCTTTCCAGGGGTGAAACCTATTGGATGGAATCCCAACACTGTGATTTGATGTTAGAAATTGTTTGTAATGGATGATGTGCATAAGATGTTGTGAAGTACACTAATAATGAAATAGAAGTAAAACATTCTACGTGCATCAATAGTAATACTCAAAAATACATTTATCATGACACCTCACTAGCTGAACTAAAAACCCTCATAGCAGGACTTTATCATTCTAATCATCAGAATCTAAAGGATTTATGGGGAAGTGACAGATGTGGCATTGAGATTTTTAGAACAATATTGACACTCAAGAGATTTGGTTTCCTTCAAAATTATCTACATTTTGATGACAAAAAGACCTGCCAAGAAAAAAAAATTGACAATTTGGCTGTTATTCGCTCATTTGTTGACAGCATTGTTTCAAACTGTCAGTTTATATACCATTTAAATACATGATAATTGACAAACAACTCGCATCATTTCATGGTTGTTGAAGCTTTTGGAGATACATGGCAAGAAAAACCTTCCAAGTGTGGTATAAAAATATGTGCCCTGGTAGCTGTGAAGAGATTTTACACTTGTGAATTTAGAAATTTATCCTGGAACTCAGCCAGCCACCTGGTCTTTATTTGTGCAGTAATAAACTGTATGACGTTGTGAACCTATTTCAAAAAGTAACCCAAATGTCACATTCGACAGCTGGTTCACTGGTTACCCACTGATGTTACATTTGCTAAAAAAACACCAGTTGACCAGCACAGGACTTACTGAGATTCCTGAGAAAAATGTTGCAAGTTCACAATAGAGAAATGAATAGTACCATCTTTGGAATGCAGAAAGATATAACATTGGCCTCCTATATGGTGAAGAAAAACAAAGTAGTATTGATCTGTCAACATTACATGCTGATGATAAGATTGATAGTGAGGCCCTGTGTGTGTGTTTGTGTGCGTGCATGGCGCATGGCTGTGCACACTTGTGATGCCAGCACTTGGGAAGGTGAGGCAGGAGGATCCTGTGAGTTCAAGGTCAGTCTGTGCTAGATAGTTCAAGGCCAGCCTCCACTACATAGCAAGACCCTGTCTGAAGACAAACAAACAAAGACTGATAGTGAATCCTCAACACAGATGAAACCAGAAATGTTTACATTTACAAAACAAAAGGTGGAGTAGATTTAATGACAAGTTAAGATGTCACTCAAAACACAAAGTGTTGGCCAATGATTGTGTTTTGCTCGATCCTAAACATGTATGGCATAAATAGTTTCATAGTTTACATAGAAAACAACAAGCACGAAATATCACAGAGAAACTTTCTTAGAGCATTGGGACTGGAATTGATAAACGATCAGTTCAACAGAGGGAGAACAGTATGTATCTGCCCAAAGAATATACGTCTGCAACAGAATTCTGGAGCAGACTGGTGCACAGACAGGTGAAACATCACAGGAACTCCTGAGAACAGGAAGAGCAGCGAGATGCCAAGTGCGTCCACCAAAGACAGGAAGACTACACACACGTGCTGCCAGTGTGAGCGAGGCTTGGGTACGGACATGCGTTGTCATGTGGGACAGCTGCCTTGGGTGTGACAAGTGAAGGAGACTATTTCTGCGGTTGAGTTTTGTTTGTATTCTCATTGTAGTTCACATAGGAATTTATTTCTGCTGTTATTTTTTAGATCTTGTAAGCAGGTAAA